TTCTTAAACATGTTTACACCCACGATTTTTGTTGTTACGATAAAAGATATCTAAAAATTGTGCCACAAATTTTATAAGAAAAAAAACCCATAAAAGTAGTCACGCTTAATAAGATTTTTGTTTTCTAATTTTATTTTTAAAAAATAAGTAAAATAAATAACCGGATATATAGCTCAATTAATTAAGTTACAGTAATCTCAATTAGAAATTTAGAACGGTACCTCAGTTGAATGGTAATAAAATTCTAATCGAAGCATGAATTTATTCTAATAACAAATTCTATCATTATAAAAAGTAATTAAAAAATTATTATGTGTTGTTCATGTTTAAAATTCTCCATTAGAGAGAATCTTTAAGACAAACCACTTTTAATTAAAGAGACATGTTTTGGCACACCGCCACCCACCCTTCCAAAAAGAGAGTAATATATTCCCCAACCTTTCCTTTTATTAGCCTTACCTATATGATTTAAGATTTATAGCAGTGAGTTGTAACCCTAAGAAAATTGGGATAACTTATTAAATTAATTTGTAAACGTTTGAAGATTTAAATGATATTAATGTGTGAGACTACGGATCAATTTTCATACATTAATTAGATGATCTAAACTTTTTTTTAGTACTAATAAAGATGGGATGAGGAGCAAGATGTAACTGCTGAGCAATATTTATGTTGGTCTAAATATATAATTTAAATTTGATATAGTCAATATGTCGTTCATATTTAACATATATATATTTTGGATAGGAACATGAGCCTCTGACCTCAAGAAAAGAAGTAAGATGCCTCTAAGTTATACTCGTGTTCGTGTTGACATTCATATTTAACCTAATTAACATGGATTAACATCTGATACATTCAATTTTGAGATATTTAGTTAATTGTTAGACATTTCATTAATCAAAAGCATGGAGGGCAAAAGAGTAAACAAAAAGATCATTTAGTAAAATAACTCTAGAACTCGATATTAAAAAACTACATGATTCAAAAGACGGAAAACGGACACTCACGTTAGGGCTTGGCCCAATCTAATATTTAGTAGGGTCCCAGCGGTAGGGCTGGGCCCAATCTAATATTTAGTAGGGTCCCAGCGGTAGGGCTGGGCCCAATCTAATATTTAGTGGGTTCCACGTTCTAGGGCTTGGCCCAATCTAAAATTTAGTGGAGTCCTATATAAGGGCTTGGCCCAATCTAATATTTAGTGGGGTCCTATGCTAGGGCTAGGCCTTTGCTTCATATCTTCTTTTACGAGATACTCATGTGGCTTTGATTATTATGGGTAAAACTAAAAAAAGTTAAAAATTGAAATGGTTAGCTTCTTTTTTAAACAATATTTATAAACATATGTTTTGTATAAGCTAAACCAAATATATTTCTCTAAAATGATGTGTGAATACAATAATTTTTAAAAAAATTATTAATGATTAATTAACTTTAGTGATAGTAATCAATATGTTTTAATTTATCCACCAGTCATTGATTTATTTATATAGCTCAGCCTGGATTTTGTTATCACTAATTAATCAACATTTTAATTAATAGTAATCATAGCAATTTATGTGTTCCAACTTTTGATATATTTGCAATTATGTTGATTATAAACCCACTTGATTATTTACCTAAAAAAGAACCCTCTTACTTTCAAATATGTCTTAAAAGAAATCACAACAAAATTTCTCATTTAAAATAAAAAAGAGGATAATTATCTTTTAAAATTTCAAAACATACTTCTTCAAAATAATAGAGAATTCTGATATTCAATGTTCTTATCAGAATGCTAATACAAAATTTAAAATATTTTTAAGTTAAATTATATATCTACTCATCATATTTGGAACGTTACATCTACTTAGTTATATAAATACACAAATTTGAATTATCTTCCTTTCAAAGTATCTTTAATGAAATTTCCTAAACCTTAAAGTATATCCTCAAATTCGCATAACTACTTGATATCTAATTTTACTTAAAATTGAATAAGATGGAATAAATCTCCTATGGAATGATATTTGACAGGATTTTTATATTCCAAACAAAATTAAAGAATAAATAAACAACTACTTAGTCTCAAGTTTGATAATTCTACTGAGCTTAATAGAAAAAATTCTAGATGTCTCACAAACAAGTCTCGGATTACAAAAAACAAAAATAATGTGTAGGATAAGATGAAAACAGAGTTTAAGTACAATATATTTTTGAATAGCTAAAAACATTACATACATATATGTTACCCTAAATTGTGAATGTTTAGTGAAGTAAAAAGTAAACCAAAATGAAATAAAATATATGAGAGTGATTAAATTGAAACACCCATACAGAACACATATATAGAGAGTAAAGTAAAAAGTAGCACATAACACAAAGTTAACTTTATATTTGACGAATTAAGGAATTAAATTAGGAAGTGTTATCGACATGCTTACTCAGCTCTTCCAACCTCTTCATCCTTAGCCTTTCGCTTTCACCAACCATCTGCGATCAATTGGAACAAAAAATCTCTACTTTAGATTAATTAAGGCTTCCAAATTATACAATTGATTAACATTTTTTTTGAGGTGGGAAAAGGGAGAGAGCCAATTTACCAAACTAACCTCCATTAGTTTTGATATTAACTGTACTTTTTCATTGTTCTTTTCGTTAAAAGCATCAAGGGCATCTTTGTATTCTTTCTCCTGCCACACAAAACAAGACTGTTTGAACCAATTTTCATCCATTGCAGAATCCATATTGTTCTAAATTCATTGATGAACTGTTGAAAAATCTACTAGCTTGTTGCATAATTATTTTATTTTTTGAGTTGTGGATGGATCATTTTTATTAATTGTAATCTACCTCGTGAGAGTTTATAAAACTGGCTAAATGTTAGAAGTTATTAACTTGTTTTCAAATTACTTTTTTTTTTTTTAGTTTTTCGAAAATTTAATTAAGATTTAAAAAGTATTTTTAAAAGATGAAGATCCAAATAAAGAAATTAATATCCGCAATATACCAACCTTTTTTTTTTCTTTTCCAAAATTATAGCTTACCAAACAAGCTATAATTGACTTATTTTTTAAAACAACTAACATTTTTATTTATTTAAACGATACAAATTTATAAACAGTTAGATTTTTAAAAATATTGTATATACATAAAAATATTTATTCTTAGTTTAGTCTTTTTTTTTTTCCTTTTTGTACTTCTTCTTCTAAGTTAGATTTAAAAAGATATTGTATAATCATCTAAAAATTCCCAAAAAAAAAAAAGAATTTAGGATTCGAGTGTGAAAAAGGTCGAATTGTACCAAAAACTAAAATAATAATCCTAAAATAAGTATAAAGAGAATTAATTAGTTACCTTCTTTTGGCAGGTCTGTCCAAGAGGCTTTAATTCCTTGTTTACAGCATCAATTTTCTTACGAATTTGTCCAATTTCCTTCCTCGTTGGATCCCCTATTGCTTCAAGCTCCTGTTCATCAATTCAATTTTCTTAGGGCTTCTTCTTGAAATTTCAGGAATATAACAGAAAACCATGCGATTTCGATAGGGCTTCTTGTAGAGGAGTTGAATTTTGGGATTTTGAAAGAGAGAAAACCGTAAGATTTCGAAAAGTAGAAACAAAAACAACAATAGAAGGTTAGGTCACAAATTGAAAAGATTTGTGGAAAGATAATCGAAGTCGGAGTAGGAACAGGAATTGCAGAGAAAGGAATTAGGTTTAGGAAAATTGAAGGACCTCTCGAATGGAGGACAAACGCCTGGTTTCTTCCTCGACTCGGCCGAGTCGAGCTTGAAGTTTGTGCTGAATTTGGATTCTCATGCGCTCGATCTCCTCCTCCTTTTCCCTAAAAGCCGAAAGCGCGGATTTCGACATCTCTTCATCTTCCTTACTGCTGAAGCTCAAATTTCCAGAATTCTGCAACATTAGCTGCTGATTCTGCTCCCCCTGCGCCTGCATCTCTCTCTCGATCTCCTCTCGTCGTTTCTTGAACGAATCAATGAACTATCCTAATTCCTATTCTTTGGTCGCCTGCTTTTTCTTTCTTTCTTTTGCTTTTACAATCGGCTCCTAATTTCCATTTAATTAATTAATTGACTTTTGAAGATATATATTAAAGCAAGGGAAGCAACGGTGGTTTTTCTTTTTTTTCCCCCCCTTCCCCTTGGGTCTTTAATTATTAAATTGGTCCGTATCATATGATCATAATTCATTTCCTATGAATTTTACTTGGAGTGGAGCATGGCTTTATTTTGTTGTATATTGCTCTACCATGTTTTATTTAGGACCACTTTTGTTATTTATTGCTACCATATTTTGTTTAGGACCACTTATATTCTATATAACTTTCTATGAAAGTAAGGAAAATACTTACTTGACTATCGAAAATTTGACGATCTTACTATTTTTAAATAAAGAAATTGTAAGTTTGAATCTACACCCTCGTATATTGTACTAAAAAAATATAGGTCCTTATTGGAAGCTAAGTATTTTCTATATAATTACGCAAAATTGATGATAACGATCAATGTGAACATAGTTTAATTAGGTATATATCGTTCAAACCATGGCGACCACCTACCTAAGATTTAATATCTCACGAGTTACCTGTCAACAAAATATAGTAGGATTCGATTGATCCGTGATTAATCGAGGTGGACGCAAATGGACACACGGATATCAAAAAAAAAAAGTATACATCTTCGACTAAAAAATTGAAGATTCAAATTTTCGTGATGTCTACTTCTCTAATTATCCTAAAAAAATTTCTTTATTGGACTTGAAATGATGTTGATGCAGCGGATATATAATAAATAAACTACATTGTACATTATTATTATTATTTTGCTACTTTATTTAGGACCACTCATACCTCATAACAATCAATGCACAACATTGTTGTTAATAGAAGAAAACAAATATGATAAAATTACAATTTTAGACACTACTTTGTCATTTTCATTTTTTCTCGGCTTGGAAAATTTCAATGCTAATACCATTCAACTGCCTATCTCATTCAAAGGTTAAGTATTCATCTTAAATAATATTGTAAATGGTTCATCTTAAACTTTTTTTTATTGTTATTGGCCTGCATGTTATTTTTAAATGATATTGACGTAGCTAACCATAAATAAAAATCCATTGAAAAAGAAAATGATGTAACGTGGTCATCATAGATGTTAAGTAAAAAGTATATCATACTTTAATATTAAAGTATAGATACTAAACTAAAATATTTAAAAGGATGAAAACTGAAATGGAGTAAGAGTATTATAACTAATTAAAATATGTATAGCCTAAGAGAGAATATATCCTTACATATTTTTATTTTTATTTTTATTTTATTTTATTTTACCATGCCTTTTGAACAAGTATATAAAAAATGACTTCTTAAGATGTTACATGGCCTTAATTTTTTAATCTGTTTTAAATTTTATTTTAGTTTTTTATGTTTTTATATTTATTTTGTTCTAGTCTCTCGACTTTCAAATATTCTTTTATAGCTATACATAAAAAGTTATTTTTATTATTTTTATTACTTTAAATTAATTGTTAAACAAAAATTTGGATTGAGTTTGATACTTGACACTTGACACCTGACATTTTTTTAATATAACAAGTGTGGATGAGAGAATATTCGAATTCATGACTTCTTGATTAGAAACCAATATTAATTATGATTGAGCATGACACTTAACATATACATATACATTTTGGTTGATATACTTTTTCTATAAACATTGATTATGATATAAATAAATAAAAAGTCTATTATTTTAAGAGAAAAATATGTTTACGTCAAGTTTCAATTAAATAATTCACAAAAAATTAATTTCTTAGTTGAAGATATATGTCAATTACCATTGAACTAGGCGGTAACTTATCTACTTGACTTCATATTTTTCTATAAGATTTCTTGGTACCTGTAATGAAAATAAATAAAATATATATAGAACAATTAGACTTTTTTTTTCTTCGAGTTCAAAATAAGTCCATGTTGGATGTAGAACAAGTGTAGTATCCTTCTAGATGCCAAAGTTTAATTAATTATAGTCAAATAATCTTCACATCACCCTTCTTTTTCTTTTTTCTTTTTCAATGGTAGGAGAGAATATCATCCGTAATCTATACAAATTAAGTTATATAAAGGAATAAAATTTCTTTATTCATTTTATTTTTTAGTGGAAATCTTCATTAATTGCCTCCTCATACCAATAACAAACCATTGACTATAAAAATGGAAATAAGAATGTTACTCCACGTCCAATTCAAAATAATCAAGCATTTTTTCTTAGCTGAGAAAACAATATGACAAAGTCAGATGGTGAAGTTTTCAAAGTCAATGAAACAAAAATACTTAAAATTTGAAGACACTCGGAGAAGATCATGAATGGGGATGATATTTGTCATATGTTTGGGAGTGATTTTGGTATGGTCAAATCAGTCTAAAATCACTAATCTTATCTGTTGACAGCAAGTCTTGGAGAGGTCCATGTATCCTTCGAAATGGGGCGTCGCCCAATGGACGCATAAGCCTGCAATTAGAAAGCTCGACATCGGTATGGTGCCCCGCTTAAAAAGTTCTAATGATCAAGTCAATAATCAGAGTCAAAGAGTAAAGGTAAACACCTCACATATTCAATGACACATTTTTCACTTATTTGGTAGTGATAGGATCCTCCCTTTTATAGGTGCAGATGGTAGGATGACGGTTTAAGGCGTAGGGTCGCGCCACGCGTAAGGGATTCTAATGGGCGGGGGCGGACATCTCTAACATCGGGCAAGTGGCACCTTCACCTACCTAACTATCTCCCCCTACTACAACCTGCTACGTGCCTCCTGTACAACTCCAACAATGCCCCGCATGACTATATAGTGTACGTTTCATGACTGCTTGTGGTTCCCACGCCCAACTGTCTTCTCCAATACTCGACACGTTGCCGGCTCAGATCTATCTCTCAATGCTACCCTCACTCCCAAACACACCCTAAAATTAATAAAATCAATATATAATTTTTACTTTTTACTTTTTCATATGGTAATTAATTTTTAAATTTTCCAACCAATTATGCATACATCATCCACTAAAAGCTCAAAGTTCAAATGATTCGTTGAACTAAAAAATATATATTTTTAAAAGTTTTAAAAACAAACAAAAAATCCATTTGTTACTTTATTAAATTTATTATAAAATTATTAAATAACATAAAAAGTAAAATATAAACAAGAACAATAGGTATTAAAAGCTCGTTGGGTAACGTTGCTATTTCTTATTTCTGTTTTCTCATTTTTAATAAAAAAACATAGAATTGTATGACCCCAATACCTAATAATAGAAGGATGATCAAACAATATTGATATTTATGTTTTGTAACAATTTGGAAACGGAAACAACAAAGTTGTGCTGATTGTTTCCAAAATTTCTATACAATTTTGAGAATGTTCACAGTTGTTATAGAGAACAAAAACGACCCGAAACGAGACAAGAAATTGACGCCCGAGATCAGGGGAAGACCAGCCTGCGATGTAACGGGCCGGCCCAAAGGACGACCTAGCGCCGAGACGCCTACTTCTCGACAATCGCCTTCGGACCAAATACCATGTGGGCCTCCTTCGCTCGGATCTACATCAGGAGGTTAAACACACCTATTCAGGATCGAGGCCGATCATTGAGCCTCGTAAATCCGAATTAGGGCTCAACTACAAGAACCTTGGAGAGGCAATTTCTCAACTCTCTCTCGGAGTTAGGTGTGTGCAAGAAGAAGAACCAGAAGGTCAAAATCTACGCATCAACAACAGGAAATGAGAAACAAAAAACATAACTAGTTGCCAGATGTTTAGGATTCTTAATAAAATTGATCCTCTTGCTTATAGGTCAAATTCATTTGATTATTTTTTTGCCTCATTTTTGTTTTGGGCAAGTATCCATTTTATCACTTTTTAAGTATTATTACCGTTAACAAAATGCAGAATTGATTATTATGTTAAAAGTAGATCAAATATTGTAATATTTTAAAAGAAAACCCTCTGATTAAAAAACATATTTATATTTCTATTAAAGTACTGATTTAATCGCTACTGAACTTTAGAATATAATAATTGAGTTCGAATTCGGATCTAGTTGCCTTAAACCTAGCTAGATTTGAAAATTTAGAAACTACTCTAAATTAAAGTAAAAAAAAAAAAAATTAAACTGGATGTTAACCAATATTTTGAGATTAAATTGAAACGTTATTTTATTTTTTAGACAGAGCAGAACAAAGGGCAAAAGTGCTCAAGAAAAGACGCCTAGGGTGGTGTGAAGTTGAGGTCTGAGGAGCAGCGCCGCCGCTGCCGGCGGCCGACACCACCTTTGGGAACCGCCGAAGGCAGGTGAAAATGAGTCAAAAAGTATACAACCACACCAATGATTTTCTATTTGCTTTATATCTATTTTCTATTCTCTCTTTTTCTTTACTTCTTTTTTGTCTTTTTAATTTTGGACTCATTTGATGATTAAATACTCTAGCTTTTCTTTTTTCCTTTTAATGCTTTGTTTTCATTTTAGTTGTCTATTACTCTTTCATTTTTTGTTCTTCTAATAAACTAGTAGAAATGAGTAGATGTTTTATCCAATAAATTATGATCGGGAAGCTTCCGATGTACTTCTATTACACATGCACGTAGCACAGAACTAAAGAGTTCACTCAGTATTTAGTATATAATACACTGATTATTTCTGAAGTAAAACGAATCTACAGACTACAACTGGTATAATTTTTACCTAAGCCCTGGTACAGTTAAAAAAAATTTATAAAGAATAGAGATGAGAGGCAACCCATTTGGTGTCCCCCAATTGAGAGTGCAGAGTAGTTTTCCAGTTTTGTAATTGATAAAAAAATCATCTCTTTTGGAAGTTGAGGAACTTCATGCTATAAGCAAACACAAAGAAGTAGGCAAACACCCACCCAAAGTGAGCCAAAGCAATGTATGGCAGAAAGTCATACTCATACCCAAATGTATCTTTGAGGAAGGTTTTCACTGGGATCTGCCCTCTCCCAGCCACCAGAACATTTCCTCCTTTGTTTCCTACTTGAGATGTCACAAGCCCATTGATTGTCCAAGCAATTGGAGATAGCCAGTAATACCACCTCCACCAGATTGGAATTTGCTGCAGTCGGCATCAAAACAAGAGTGAAGATCATTAGAATTAATTGCATTCATGTTATGTTGTGGCCTATGTTCCTTCATATAGTGTTGTGTGATGCAGATTTGTTTGTGTCAAATGTTGCAAATTCGCTTACCGTTCGCGGAACCATGAATCCGGAGAACAAGTTCCAAAAGCTGAGGAAGAAGGACATGGCTATGCCCGCAATTTGGGGGCCTGGAGTCAGTGCAATAATCATCATCCCGTACATTGTGAAGTAGACGAAGCACATCAAAATGAAGTAGTAGAACCACAGAAAATTTGTTGCTTTCCACTGGAACCCCATCATGGAGAAAAGTAGTAGAGAGTAAATTAGTGTTTGAATTGCATTGTAGATTACCTCCAAACACACCTGCAGAATGAGGGAGTTATGTATTGTAAGCAAAACGGTTCCATAATTTAGAACTATATGAATTACAGTAGAAAAAAACGACCTTTATTTGTTACCTGAGAAAATGCATAAGGCAATGGAGAATACATGCCAGCAGCTCTTTCGCGGTAGAAAACAGTTCTCTCTATGGTGACGACTGGCTGCACTGCAGCGGCGTTGCTGGCTCCAAGGAAAAGAATAGCAGCATACATGGCCCCCAAAAAGTTCCTTAGATCTTGTTCTTCATCACTGTTGATAAGTAATAGTGTAGTTAATGAGTGACATCGACCACTGAAAGTACAATAAATTATATAAACGACTGTGATGATGAAGTTTGATTTATACGTTTTCTCTCCTTTGTTCCAGAAGATAAGGCCAAACAAAAGGCCAATAATTGTTGTCATGAAGAACCGGACGACGTTGTATCGAGGGTTTCTCCAGTATGACCGATACCATTTCCAGAAACAAGCTTTGAACTGAACATTGAATGATTGGGAGTACTTAGATGGGAAGTGGAGTTCCTGAGATCCGGGAGCTGGAGTACTGAGTTCTTTAATAAGTTCTTGATTTCTCCTGAAGAATATCAATACATATTAAGGGAAAGAGGGAAAATTATCATCATGACAATCCAAGGAGATGAGTCAAAGAATTGTGACAAACGAGTGAACCGTACTGATAAAGTGCAGAGTTAGCATAAATTTCTGCAAAATCCACATCAAGTTGAGTCTCAACAGATGAAGCTGTCACTTCAAGCATCCAAGTAGCAGGATTGTAGCCATCTTTAATCCTTGGAACCCCTGGAACGCTCTGTAGCAGTTAAGAAAAGCATTACACTTCGGTCCAGTTTTATAACGAGTTCGCTTTTAGTTTTTAAAAATATGGTAGTTGACTAATAATTTCTCAAACCATGTTCTCACCTCAAAATATTCGACGAGCCTGTGAGACTGGTGACCGAGAGACCCTGCATAAATGACTTGTCCACCTCGTTTCATCAACAATAGCTGTTTAATGCATGAGAACAAGATCAAACTATAAGAGGCTGGCTTCATTTTTTGAAGGAAGTTAAACGACCATAGATAAAACTAAATTGTATCAATACCTCATCAAACGATTCAAAAATATCTATGCTGGGTTGGTGAATTGTGCAAACCACAGTTCTACCAGTATCGACTGTGTTTCTCACAGTTCGCATAACAATAGCGGCAGCTCTAGCATCAAGGCCAGACGTCGGTTCATCCATGAAAATAAGAGATGGATTGGCCACCAACTCCACAGCTATTGTTAACCTCTTCCTTTGTTCTGTTGAAAGACCATCTATCCCAGGAAGTCCAACTAAAGCATCTCTAAGAGGGGTAAGCTCCACTAGTTCCATGACTTCTTCCACAAACATCTATAACAAAGGCAGGAAAAGATAGGTAAGATAAACAAAATTCAGGCGTATGAAACTGTTTGGTTGTTCAAACACTTGAGCCAGACAGAGATATGTGCATTTCAGATACTGACCTTTCTTGTTGTTGTGTCGACACTTGACGGAAGGCGGAGCCAGGCTGAATATAGCACTGATTCATAGACAGTAATATGTGGTGAATGAATATCATTTTGTTCACAATAACCAGAAACCCGAGCGAATGTTTCTTGGTTCTTCGGGTGACCAGATATACTGATGCTTCCTTCAATGTATCCGCCCGTCTTTCTCCCTGCCAAGACGTCCATTAGAGTGGTCTTTCCAGCCCCACTGACCCCTACAAGCGCTGTCAAGACACCAGGTCTGAAAGCACCACTGACATCTTGCAGTAGTTGAAGGCGATCTTCGTCAACCCCTTGACTCTTCATTTCCTGATGATGACAAATATTTATTTCAGTGCCAGGCTAACGAGAGCAGAAAACTTGAAAAGGAGAGTGATTTTATGAAAAGAAAGCAGTACAATTGGAAAGCTCTTTAAACTCCATTAACTTTCAAAGACAACGAGTTCAAGCTGCTCGCAATCCCCATATATGCTTTGCACGAAAGAAGTTTATTGGCATGAACTTTTTTGAGAAGATAATCATAGGAATGAGTGACTTACTGGAGGCATATCCACATAGTAGTTGACATGGTTAAATGCAAGTGAAAGGGGCTGAAAAGGCAAAACCATCCCCTTCTTTGCTGGATGATTTGAATTATTTGCCACATTTGAAGACTTTATCGTTTGCATTTGAATACCTGTAATTAACCACAAACATTCAAGTAAGATTAGACCCAAAAAAAATAATTACTCAAGGAAAGGAGTTCAAGTTTTGTCGTTCAGGTTTTACACCTCTGGATGCAGAATATGGATTTTTGTTATCATTTGCCTCATCAACAATGGCAGATCTTGAATCGCCCAAAGCTGAAATTGATTCGTCAAGCAAAACATTGGTTATTGAATACAAAATAGTTTAGCTTTCCCAAAATAAACAGAAACGACACGATTAAACTTACGGTTTAGGAAAGTCAATGCAATGATGAAGAATATGTTGAAAAGAAGAGAGAACCCAAATAGTGCTGCAACACAAACCCAATACATTTTATTGGTATCATAAAAGTCTCTTGAAGCAAGGAGAATCTTCCCAACAGTAGTTCCATTTAATCTGGGATCTGTAGGAGGCTGCATCAAGCCAATACTTATTGAGTTAGAGTTTTGGAAACAAATGACTTGTTTATGAAATTTGGCAGATAGGATTTTTAAAACACTATATTTACATTTGAATCATTATCACATCATACCTTATTCCATCTATCGTCTAAGAATTCATTAATGAGAATAGCATTTTGTCCATACATCATAGGAGACATGTAGTAGCCCCATATCATCCACGGTTCGATGTCACCTACAAGCATTAAAATGTCAAGTACTACTAATATCCAAGCTAGAAAGAAGTCGAGGTTTCATTGAAATCAGCTTAAGGTAAATAATTAAAAGGGAAAAAGGGTTTTATCTACTCACCTCTGGCAATGATGAAACCACCTAATACAAAGACCATTAGTAGAGTGAAACTTCCCATTGTACTTGCAATAACTTGAACTCTTCCAGCTGCACCGATGAATCGGAAGAGTGATAGAGCCATCTGATGGATTCCAAAGTATGCTAAGAATTGCCGGAAAAACCTGTAGAATAACAAAAGGAAGCTCTTTTACTATAGCTAAAGTATCAACAGTTCAACATTTCTCGGACGTTTTTACAATTTAAATATTAAATATTAAAAGTAGGTTCGAACTTTGAAGTACCTGCTAGCAGCTGGAGCAAACCCAATTGTGTAGTATGTAAGACTAATCCAGATGCCTGATTCCATAATTGATAAAGGAATTCTGAGTAGCCAAATTGGCAACCCAAAAGCCCAAGCAGGGAAAAACAAGGAATCCCTCTGCTTATAGAAGACAGGCAGCCTGGCAATGGTCAACGTTAGTTCTGCCATTCCATTAAACATCATATTGATTAAGCTAAAGAACAGAGCTCCAAAAAATTTGCCACCACCTTCCACAGTCCCTACTTTCATTTCCGTCCTGAAGAACACTGTCATTGTAATTAAAGACATGATTGTTATTTGGACTGTCTTGAACACATAGATGAATGAGTTACGCTTCATCAAAAGCCACTCCCTTGAAAAACAAGCCTTGACGAGTTGCCAATTGGACAAGCCATATTTTTTGGTGACCAATGCAGCTGGATGGGTATTCCTTTTGTCAAAAGAAACACTGATTTCTGCATTAAGGCGTTGGCCAGCATGAAATCTTTTGAATCCTTGTATGAATTCAGGAACAGAAACGTATTTGTAAGGTTGGCTCTTTCTAGACCAGTATTGTTCTTGGTCCTTTTTGGATGTGACTTCCTGCAGAAAGTCAGCCACTCCTTTCCTTTCTGGGCATTTGAAACCCATGAATTCAAAGAACTCGAGGACGTTGTCACATGGGCCTTGGTACACAATTTCACCCTCTGAAAGTAAAATTACATCGTCAAAAAGTTCAAAGGTCTCTGGAGCTGGCTGTAGCAGAGAAATTATCATTGTTACATCCATTATGTGAACCATTTGCCTCATGAATTTGCATATCTGAAAAGTTGTGGAGCTGTCTAACCCAGTTGATATTTCATCCATAAACAGTGCCTTTGCTGGTCCAACCAACATCTCCCCTACCAAATATAAGAAATAACCATAAATTAAAATCAGTCTCATTACCAATCCCAACAAAACCAGCAAAATGGTTCACCTGAAGAAGAAACATACCAGTAGTTACACGCTTTCTCTGTCCCCCAGAAATCCCCCTCCTCATCTCATTACCAACAATAATATCAGCACAAATATCCAATCCTAGTATCTGCAGAAAATGCTCAAGATTCAGCTTCAAGCAAAAGGAGAAAAGAAAAGAACTTTGACGCTGGTTGAGTAAAAGGGAAGGAGGCAAAACCTTGAGAACATAGTCTGTGAACAAGTTGGTTCTTTGGCCGGAAACTGAAATGGCTTTCATGAATGCATCAATTTCAGGGTCGGGTTTGATTCCAGCTTCTTTTTCTCTTCGTGAAAGTTCTTCTAACATCTCGTACCTGGTTCCAACTCCTTGGCATCTTCCTGAGAAATCGAATGTCTCCCTCACTGTCATTTCCCAGTTGTGAAGATCGTGTTGGCTGATATATGCAGACGTCCTCTGAGGAACAAACTCTTTAAACTCATGCCCACAGTAGGTGATTTTCCCGGTTTCCTGTTCATAATCGAAATTTTACTTTTTCTTTTCTTCTTTTCTTTATATGAGAATATTAAGAATTGTAGATTTTAAAACAAACCCTCAAGTTATTTTCTAGTTTTCCTGCAAGTGCACGCAGCAATGTTGTTTTTCCAGAACTTGGAGGACCCAGAAGAAGAGTCATCCTGCATTTTTACATCACACCAAGTATGTATCAGATCAGCTTAGCAGCAAGAACATATATTTCCTTTCCTTAGGAAAAAGCATATATTTTTTACCTTCATAAACAGTAATTTCTCTCTTCCAGTTCCCAGAAGAAGAGAATTTTTGTGAGAAAATTAATTTAGAAAATATTTATCCCACTTTTTCAGTGTTGCTACAACAGATGTTTTAAATGTCATCTCGACGGGAATGTCTAGTTCTTTTGATTTTTGTTCAGACTGTTGAAAGGTCTAATTTAATCTCTACAAAAATTAAAATTAAATTAAAAAAACCTATTTACGTTTTTGAAATTATTGTTTTGAAGTCTAAAATCTACCAAATTAGCATCCATATCATGTCACTATGTTAATAATTACTTTACATATCTAAAAGTCACATTATCTGTGTATCAATGTGTTAACTAATTAATAAATCAATTAGAATATAGTTCAATTTTAATACATAGAGTTCAAACTTTTATAGGTAGTTATACTAAAAAGAACTAATTTTTTTATTATGAAAATCAAAATAATTATTTTTTAGAAAAATTATTAGAGACTAAAAAACTTTTTAAAAAGTTCAAGAATAAGAATAGAATAAATTCATACCAAAATGGATATTTTACTTGTTCGTAGATTAAAATAGAATAATTTAAAAAATTAGAGACTAAAAATAAGATTTAAACTAAACTAAAATAATTAAATAAGAAAAACAGAAAGAATTTAAAATTTAAAAGAGGAGCTCAGGTGAGAATAAAGTAAAAGAAAAGATGTTATTAGGAAGGAAAAAAAAAAGAAAAATATATTTATAGACAAAACATTTTTAAATAAAAATTTTCCCAATGTAGGTTCGCGGCTGGTTTCAATTTCAATTCTATAAATGAATAGAGATTTTTTTTTAATAGAAAAAACAAGGAATTCACATACATATACATATACGTGTGTGATAAATAAGTATTTTATATTTTTAAAATGAGTTAAAAAGTATAATTATTAAATATTATGTCTAACATTTGATTGATAATTTTTAATGATTTAATAAAAAAACCGATTTACTCTGAGTTGCAACAAGCATTTGAGTTTAATATAAATATCATAATTTGAAATCAAAATATTTTCAATGACATTTTTTTACTCCCAATAAAGATAGAATATCCGAACTCTTGATTTGTTAATGAGATATGTGTACTAATTACCATTAAACTAAATTTAGGTTGACTTTTCTTTCGTGAAATTAACAAATTTGATATTTTGATTGAATTGTGTTTTTAATATAAGTAAGAAGTTAATTGTATAAAGAAGAGTTATATATTTAATTACCTAGAAGGTTTGACAATGCCACTAATATCTTTGAGAATCTGGATCTTCCTCTTCCTAGATGGGACCAGGCGAACCAATCCAAGCAGGCTCTGTCAAATTAATCACCACCAAATATTGCCGTCTCAAAAACCAAAAAATGCATAAGATATCATTATTTTTGTAGCAAAGCAAATGATTAAATTGTCTTCTTCCGAAACAATTTGGCACTAATTAATTGTAACTACACTCCAAACCACATGGTGGCTTTTTCGATGCAAGTTGAAAGTTGATTCTGCTTTTCAATTAACTGTTCTAATTCTAAAATGTG